ATATATTTCAAAAATAGATTTATATTACAGCACACCACTGCAAATGACTTAAACTGAGGAAAAAATAGTGGCTCTAAAACTGACCGTATGGTGAAAGAAAGGAAACTAAAGCAGTTGTTTCAATTAATTTGAACAAGGGTGTATATAACCAATAGCTTCGTTATTTCTGAATGTGTTTAGTGTCATGCATGACATCCATACAACGCCATTTAAGTATGTGACTTGAGTGTATATTTTAAGGTTTTTTTTTTTTTTTGGTTTTGTTTTTAAGTTTCGGTAGCCTCTTGTGATGTTGGAAAACACTAACCCTAGCGCAGCCTATAAAATGTTCAATTTCATTATCTCCTATAAGAGATGAGTTATAACAGTTATATACACCGAGGCATTTTACGTGTTTAGTATTTATTAGTTCCATATCCTGGGGTTTTATTAAGAATACATCATATGTGCCATCACTGTTTTGCGGTAAATATCCCCTTATCTCTGAAATTGTGGAACTACTAAGGTATAATATAGAGTAGATTCTGATTTCTTCTTTGTTCTTCGTCATCACGAACAAATTAACACAGTTGGCAATTGTAACCAAATTCATTTTGCTACAATTACTAGATTCTATACAACTAACATTGTATTGTTATAAGCTATCTTAACATAGATTATCACCAAATGGAAAATCAAACAGTTAATTTGAAAGTTAATGACAAAAGCAAGAATCATTGCAAAAAAATGTATAAAAAGCAAATCTCATTGTTTAATCGTAAAGATTGGTTACTCTTCTTCTTCATTCATGTCCCTTCTTAACGTAAGTTATCATGGTCCTCCACTCCTTCTGTCCCATTTAGCTACTAATAACTTTTGCCTTTTTGTTATTTCTACCAGTGTTATGCCATCCACTTGCTGATGCCCATTAAGTATGTCACGGGTTTCTTTTCTTTTGTTCCTCTTTCTCTCTGTCCGTCTTGTGCGTGTAAGAATTTCCAAGCCCTTCTTCCTCATTACGCGATCCAGATATTTCAACATCCTCTTCTGATGTTAAGTATAAGTTTCCATTCTCTCCAAAACCTCGACGTTGCTCACACCTTCGTCTCATGGTATCTTGAGTATCCTTCTGTAAAACCACGTTTTCTTTCCTTCGAGTCTCTTTATTTTTGAGGTGATTGTTCTTACGAGATATTGAAAGACCACATATTGTAAAAATAATTACGGCTCTAAAGATAGAGGCTTGGCCATATCCAACTTGGTCTTCTTTCACTATGCGTTTTCAGGTCATTGCAACTTTTTTCTTTGTTTTTTGTTTGTTTGTATTTTTTATTGAGGAAACGCATTTATTAACTTCCAGATGGTCAAAGCTGATAATGAGTACTTGTTTACGTCCAATAATGAAGAATCTTACGCATCAGGGATCAACAATTTGCTGAACAGACTGTCCTGTACATATCAAATTTTCTGATCTCTCCTTTGAGATAATGTATCCTACAAAGTATAAATCACCGTTTTGCTTCCATTTCCTTTAAAATTTCGTCGATGTTCACACATTCAAATCATGGTTTTCCAAACATCCTTCATTAGAATCACATTTCACTTGTCTTAAATTTCTTCACAATCCTTGAGAATTTTATCCAGAATTCACTGCCACATAGAAAGCTCGATATTACATAAGCGTTCAGCATTGTTTTCTTTGTATCTAACGATATTTTTATTTGAACAATACGCTAATCTCCAGTAGTAATGAAAGCAAACTCTGGACTAGACACCACATGTTACATTTTACCTTAAGTCTCTCGATATTGTCTGAAAGCGTAATGGTGAAAAACAGATATGCCAGTAATAAATCAAATAAAGCAAGCATTACTGGCAGAAAATTATTCCCTGTATATTTTAATATTTATTAAGTTTCGCTAAATCTGTCAGGGAGCGGTGTAGCTTGACTTTTATTGCATTCAGAACTGCCTGCAATGTTCTGGAAAATGCAAGTATAACTATACACAAGCGTCCAGGCCAATGTTAAAAACAAACAAATTGAATCTCATGAAGATCACCAGCAAAATTATGAATAGAGGCAAAGCGACTGTGCCCACTATTGCAAATGTCCCCGAGGTCTTATCTTCCTCAACAGATAAGGCGAAGCCGTTCGCTTCGAGCTTTGACTTGAGTTCAATTTTAAATTACAAAGACAAACCCCTTCCCACTATTCCACGTCTCACTGAGCACAAACGACCTGAGAAATCTCAAGACTTATCAAAAGTCTTGACCCTAAGAAGCAACTGTCCCAGAAAAAAGTTGTTGTCCTTAAGAATAAAATCCAGGAACTACCTCGATATTAGTGAAGTTATTAAAACGATGAAATGCTTTCTACAGCTGTGAAATGTTTCAAGCGTATATCCAGTTTTCAAGAACACGGCGAGCGTTCATACGTTTCTCAGCATAGACCCTCAATGTCATGAGCAATCCTATGAGGTTATAATCAACAAGAATATTGTTGACACCTAGATAAGAACAGCCTCTTGGTCGTCAAGAACTACAATTACTCACAGAATCAGTGAGCCACTAGATTACAAATACACCTCAAGGACCATAGCATTAGACATTACGAAGTCCTTTGACAAGGCGTGGCACAATGGATTCATGCTCAAACTCTTTAGCTATGGAATCAGTGGAAGAGTTTAATCAATAATAATTTCTTTCCTGAAGGTGGTTGCTAGCAACCATTCTTCGAAAGCCGTTGACAAGGTGTAGCACAATGGATTCATACTCAAAAGCTTTAGCAATGGAATCACTGGAAGAGTTTAATCAATAACATTTTCCTTCCTGAAGGTAGTTGTTAGCAGCCATTCTTCGAAGGCCTTTGACGAGGTGTAGCACAATCGATTCATGCTCAAGCGATTTAGCTATGGAATCAGTAGAAAAGTTTAATCAATAATAATTTCCTTCCTGGAGGTAGTTGTTACCGGCCATTCTTCCGGGGCATCCCTAGGTGTCACTTTCCGGTGTGACCCATATTTTAATTTACATAAATGAACTGCCCACCAGTATATTCCGTTCACTTGTGAATATCTATGCTGATGATACAATGATATAAGGTTGCACCTCCAAAACCCTAGATGACCAAAGGTCTGCACCAGATCTCTGATCCGATCTAACTCTAACAGTTCAGTGGCCATAATTGGCTGGTTACATCCAATGCCACCAAAAACTAGTTATATTCCAGCATCGCCGATCTACCTTGAACTACCACCAGTCACAATGAACAGATGTCCCCTCGAGGAGATCTCGTGTCTTGAGCGACTATTGGGCCTCAAACTTACCCCAAAGGAGTCGTACATCCGATCAATCGTACAGGATAGCAGGATGAGCCAGATACCTACCGAAGCGGTCGAGGAAACCGATACTTTTCCAGGTATCTTTAAGGATGAATGAGTGACACTTCAGGCCTATGTTGAGCTTAAGTCCCAATATGTTGTTGTAAAGTAGTTTTCCCAGTGGAGGCTTGTATTTTACTGAGTCGGTCCTAAATTAGGTTCCGACGTACAAAACGTTAGGAACTTGAAAATAATACTTAATGACGCAGCAATCTAGTTGTGGGGCTCATACTTTAATGTCCGACATCGACTGACTTCACACAACTCACTGAGCTTTACTGGCGACTGCTGCTACTACTACTACTTATTATCTGTGGAAGAATCTATTTCCAATACAAATAGGTATGATCTAGTATAACACAATAGGAACTCGGTCCCACGCGGTTCTCCCGAGAGAAAACCCATTTATCATGATAGGTGATAATTCAGGGACCACTCAGGGATGACGGAGCGTCACTAGTTGAATTTTCGAGGCGTTGAATGTAACTAAACAGCTTTTAGCCCACTGATTGGTTAAATTTAGAATAAAGTAGAGATTTGCGGCTTGATCTCTAGAGGTATCCGAAATTCAAAGTAAAAAAAAATAATATCATGTCTCCCTTTATGTCACATGACCTTTTACTATATGAGTGATTAAGTCTCTACACAACCCCTTGTCTTTTTTGCTCTAAGTATAAAGCGTCGCTATATTTTCGCTTTCACTTATAGATTTATATGCAATCTTCAATATGCTACTTTGTTGTCTCCTTCTGCTTCTTTTGCCTTCGGTCTTCCATGGGAGTGTTATATTATCTCGGCTTCTTTTTCCATAGTTTCAAATGATTTTGCTAAGTCATACCACATATAGAAGATGGAAGTAGTGAATACGTTCGTTCTTACACTTAGAAAATGTATCTCTGTATGTTTACTAGACAAAAGCATGACCCTGAACAAACCTGAATTTCGCATTGTCTATCTGTTGACCGACGCCCAAGGCATCTGCAAAAGCCACGATCCTTTAATCAAGTTTGTTTCACCTCAGTAATTGTCCGAACCTCTTATCTCACAAATATCGATGCAATACAGCCGATTTTATTGTTCAAAACTAAATTATCATTAACATTACTCCTGCGCATATTCGTAATTCTGTAAATTCAAACAGGCAATTAATACACGTTGTCAAGAATTTCTGGATCATTTTGCAAGAAAATAACACAGATTAGAAAGTGTATTTCGAAATAAAGTTACGATGGGAACGAGTTTTACGCTATTGTGTAAGCGTTCAACACCCTCCCCGGTTGTCCAAGATTCGAACACCGTGGCTGGTCGCTGATGTGATGGCTTCAGTCTAGATCTAACATTATCCCACGTTATGATTTAACCTTGATCATAATGCAATTAAGATAGCATCGTCGCAGGTATCTCCGTGTTAATTTAGTCCAAGCATTGCGATGACGTACAGGGAAAAATAACGCTTAAATAAATGGAACAAAAGTAAAGTCTGCATGCAATTAATTATCAGTCCAACCTGCGTCTAAATCGGAGGTGATATTATTGTTCACCCAGCAAAATCGGGTTTGCTGTTGTTGCTAAGGTTCGGCACAAGGCTGAAGTCGGAGTTGGGGGGGGGCTCTCTTCGACAGGCATCACGTGGGGTGTATCATGACCAATGGTTGGGACGAACTCTGCCGTCTCACCTCTGTCTCGTCTCTCGTCTGCGACTCGTCTACTAATTCGCTTCGCGCATTCGTATTTATGGACATTTCCCCAAACTGGCACGGGTATATGGCGAAGTAGGAGTATTTCGGTGAATCCCCTCCGGTTTACGTCATAACTTTGGTGAATTCCCTCTCTGCACCTTCTCTGTTATTATCTGCTCTCACCGACTTCTTTAGTGAGCGTGGGTGGTTCCTCCTGTTACGGTTTTTTGTGTATATACTGTGAATAGTGAGCGAGTCAGAATGACTTATTTCCCTTTATAGTCTACCAATAGAAGATTAACCAATCAGAAGCCGCAGAACACTTATATCCGTCGTGTATAAAGGCGGCCACCTTTGTTTACCCTACCGGAATGACCAGAGTCAACTTGTCAGGCGAACATGACAGACGGAAGAACTACGCTCTGATACCTTGCTGCGATATCCACTGCGAACCTGAACAACGCTTTCCTACTGTCTCCGAAATATTCACTGCCAACCTCTGGATTCTATACTCGAAGACTACCGTCATGAAAATGTCTAACACCTCCATCCTACTTGATGGCCTATCTGCGCCTGATACCTCGACCATGAAAACTCAGTTCAAAATTCAGTTTTTTACAAGGTGTATTTATTCGCTTTCCAGTCGGCATTTGCAGCTGTGTGTCAATCAACGTTTCTCCATAAGTCTGTGTCACATTTCCGTTGTTCAAACTGCTCGACATTCAATTCAAGTCGTTTATGTATAAATTAAATCGTCAGTTCTTCCCACGTCCTTCGCGTCTGAATATCTTTCAGTACATAAAACTTTCTTATGTTTTAAAAAACATTTCTTCTATTTTAGCGCGGCAACGACAAATAGTATCACAATTGTTCATCCAATACGAATTTACTGAATGAGTACGTTTTATGGGCGTAAAATTGTAAATTATGTGGATGTGGAGGATTGATAATGTGTGACCTGGCCTTGAAGTAGTGAAGATTATAATGCAATGGGATACTCTCCGGAATATGTACGAATGGAACCCCTTTCTTATCAACATAATATGAAAGCAGTGAAGATAGTTGATGTCTGTATAAATAGTATGGCTTGTTTGTGTTTAGCTCTAAATGGCTGAACTGGTTGGACTGGTTTACGTAGTTCATCAGAATGTTTACCATGGAAATAGCGATAAAATCGAAATGGTCATACGACGTTGAATTTCTGGGGAAGGTTTTTAACGACTAATCGCCTAGAAGGGGTCTTAAAAGCTTCTGACTGGAAAGAGAGTCTCTCACCAAGATATGGCAGCAATATTCCATCTTTGGTCTCCTTTTCTAACTTTACCGCATATTAAGTGTAGTCAGGTTCTTTCCGGAGCGGTATAAGTAGTTGACTATTTTTATCAGGGTCTTTAGCGAGGGATTGTATATATGAGTCTAAGGTAGGAAGACTCATTGGGACTGCAACAAGGGCTGGATTAACCATTAAGTAAAAAGAGACATGTACTTAGGAAATCAGTTGAAAGGGTAACACAGAAATTGTAATGATATCTAAAGAAATAAGTCAAAGACGATTAATATTTGAATCAACAGGGCGCCATTACCAAGGGATGGCAATTGATCTGCAGCGAATCTTTATTGACATTCTGATTGGTTGATAAGGGAATGAGCTTAGCTGGTTTCTTGATGACACGAACACTTTTGGTCACAGTTCTGTTAGAATATAGTCGTGGCTTGTTTGACAGTGGCTGCACAGCTGTGATTGTTTCTTTCTTGGTTGGCGTTGATCTGGGTTGGAACTGATGGTCAACCTCTCTCGGTGGTCGTATGTACATTCGGTTTATTCTATATTTATTTCCACAGCGTTTCCACGATGCACGTTTTCGGTTGATAGCCTTTATTTATTTGCACTACTTATTGAGACGACTTAACTCGCAGGTGTATGGGGGCCCCAAAATCTTTTAAGGGCTTAGGGCTCCCTATGGGTCTTAATCCGGATCTGAATACAACCATTAATTATGACATAGTAATTAAGAGTAAGCCCATTGATGATGAGCATATATTGATGTGTTTATCTTAGTCTTTGTAGTTTGAGAAAGCCAGATTTTCCGCTCTTAGAATGTTAGTAAGGGGCCATATGAGAGATCAGCTGCCAAGCCCTGATCTTCTAGACTTTTAGCTTATTAACCTACATACATATTTACTAACGATATTAGTGCACTCTTAGAGAGAGCCTTAATATGAAGCAGGGAGAGGATAGGACAAAAATTTGCAGCATGTCTGCATTGATTAGAAGCCTGGCCATTGAAAACGACCTCCAAGAAGACAGGGCGGTCATGACGATTGCGAAGTGGCTCCCGGAGATTTCATAATTGAAGAGTTTATGTCGCACCACGCCCCCATCCTTATTCGTTATGAAAGGCTTTTTAGATCACCGTCTTGAAGTATTTATTACGGAAGGCTTCACTGATTCTGCTTTTTATGACAATTAGAAAAGCAATAATGAACTTAAAAGAGCGAGACATATTTCTTATCGTTCAGCGAGTAATTTCTATTGAGCCGATCAAGAATGTTCTTATTTCGTATTTTAAATACCATCTCGTTGGAGACAATGCAATGAAACAGTATAATTACAATTGAGGACAATATCAATAAGCGAAATGCGTAATAAAAATTTATGTGTTAAATAAATGACTTGGTTATATAACCAGTCTGAGTGAATGAAAAAAAATTAAAGCTACGAACAAATCCCTTGTAACATATTGTTATATTCCGTGGTAAGGGAATAAATACTTAACACCACGTGGATAAAAGAAGAAAGGTTTATTGTACACAACCAGTACAATATGAAATAGGGTACAGTTATACACACAGGTCAATCTAGTTGTGAGTGCCACTAATTGGGAGGTCGGATGTGCTTGCGTCTGCACGCTCTCACTCTTCCTCAAGTCTCTCGTAGACAGTTGACTTTATATGTACTTACTAACTATAGTGTATTCATTCATGGGGGTAAGTGGTTATTCCAGTACATCACATACCATCAGGAAAAATGCAAATATATATTATATACAAGGCAAATAATGAAACAGAAAAAAATAATAATTGAACAAACATTCACTTGACCGAACTTGAAAATGTCTCAATTAACACGCCTGATTAATTGTTTCCATTCTGTTCAAATTCGATACTTTAAACTAAACAATCCGAAAAAAGGAAAGAATATAAGGAAAATTGTAAACACATAAATAAACAAATTAAGTAAATTATAAATAAATTAATAAACTAGGAATACACTCATAAATACAATTAAATGCAATAATAATGATAAACAAATAATTCAGCCATCCACAATACATAATGAGTACAAAGTTTTCAAACAGCACGATACAATTACTACAAATAAGCACATTCGGATACACAATTATTTCTACTCAATAGAATCTAGAATAATTTGAAATATACCCAGTAACCGTCCGGGTAATACAATAGACCTTGCTATACATAATGCGACATTGGACAGCATATATAAACAGTCGAGTCAAAACACAACAGGCATGGCCTAAAAATTGCGCTCAAGCATAAATCAAACTGTCACCCGATGTTAAAATCAGTGTAGACTAGGCAAACGGGAACCACTCCCATAATTCGTTTTTTTTTTCTTTTTAACTGGAATGCATGGTAATTCAAAGACAATAAAAAGGGGAATTTGTAAATAGAAAGAAATAGCCGACATCTTGAAAGAGCATGTCACATTTTTACCAAAAACTCCTGTATTTATTTCTTGCAATATTTTCCATACTTTTGCCGTGAAAACTCTTTCCCGCCACCATATCACGTGACGATCTTAATCGCAACGCGAGATGCAAAACAAAAAGAAAAACCTATTATCAGTATAATAATTGAATAAACATTCACTTGACCGAACTTGATAATTTCTCAAGTAACACGCATGATTAATTGTTTCCATTCTGTTCAAATTCAGATCCGCGAATATTAACGTTTTCTCTTTTCTATTTTATGTAACTGTCAATTAGAGTTTATTTTAAGAAGACAAGTCATAGAATCAGTCTAAACGTAATAAATTACCTCTTAAATCTTCATTCCTTACGAGTTCTTTCAAAATACATTTAACATGGCTACATATAAAAATGATATATTACAGACTTTGACACGTTCGGCTACTAATAACAGAATTACAGATTTTACAAAACCAATTAAACAGCTTTTTAGAAGGCCAACTCATTTTGTCGTCTTTCGCACATTTAAACGCATTTTGTCGTCTGCTTTAGACTTATTACATACAACACAATATTTTCCATCCATGCGTATTTTATATATGTAACTTCAGACCGCAGACGTTCGAGTTCTTCACAGATCCTTTTTTTCTTATCTTTGAATCGCTACGATATCCTGGGAAAGTTCGTGGACTTGTTTCCTGTTACCCTATACCACGTAATTAATTCAGAGTTAACCTTCTAGTTAACAATACAAGTCTAGAGAACATAATCAACTATAATATATCTCTATATTTCTGAGATAAGGTATTGTAACTCTTTGCATCGTTCGGACTGTAATTCTAATATTTATTGCTATATTCACGACCTTTCGACCGTTGTACGCTTGACCTTCTTCAGGTTGTATACGTTGGATATATGTTGCCTCCAAAGACACATGGCTCAGTGAATAAAAATATTTGTTGAGAAATCTAAAAAGTGACTTGACCAAAGAGTTCTGTCTTCAATACCTGGCCACAGAAAGCGGGGTCAAAATCTTGGAGAGGTGAGTTACTAATACTGAGATATTTCTTTTTTATAAAAAAAAGGCATAGTAGATGAAATTCGAACAATCTACCCAAGTGGACTAAATAAGGTTTTCAGTTAGAAATCCCAACGTATATCTCCTGAGGAAGGTCAGCCGAAATGTCGTGAATATGGCCATAAATATTAGAATAAGTCAGAAGGATGTAGATATTTACTCACCCCGCCTCCATGAGGAAAGGTTGTGACACAAGGTCGGTTTAATGTGGGGAACCCGAGCTTGTGCACCCGGTTTCGCTGGCCTCGGTGCGTGCACCGACCCTTCTCTCTAATGCAATGAGAAGGCGCGGCCTCGGG